AGGTGTTTGTGGTTGGGATAGAGTCCCCAGTAGGAAGGTTACTTGTGGAATGTGGAGTTCTTCAGATTTTGTTGCTCAGGCATCTGTGACACTATGCTATTATTCCTTGGATATTTGAGAAACACCAGTGTCTATGAATTTCTCAACTTAAAATCATTCTCCATAATTACTGATATGAGAAGCAATGCATCTTGCCACACATATTGAAAGTGATTTGGATAAAATTTGGATAAAATCATTGTCATTTCTACTTTTAAAGTCTTTGTTTTAATTTATATAGACATTTGAAATTTTTATTACTATCTTTTATCACCTTGATTTCTACTTTTTTCCCCATCTTTCTGCCCCTCCATTGCTTAAAGCCAGGCCTGCATAACCTGTGGCCCACCAAAGGATTTTGGGCAGCCCACAAAAAATGTAGAGGATACATTTTTTGTGGGCTGCCCAAAATCCTTTGGCATGCCTCAAGTGGCCCTTGGGCTACAGGTTGATCAGGCCTGCTTAAAGCCATGCCTAACCCCACCATCTGTCTGAATACCTCCCTGCCTTTTAGCTACCACTTTCGAGCTTCCCTTTAGCAATATCTTTCTTCATTAGAAAGTAAGCTCCTTGAGAGCAGGAACTGTCTTGATTGCTTGTATTTGCATCCCAGGTGCTTAGCACAGTGCCTGGCACAAAACCAGCAAGTTACTGTAGGGCCCCTCTCCATGCCTTTGGCTGTCCCCCATGCCAAGAATGTACCTCCCCCCAAGATATGCTCCCATACAGCCCTGATGACTCTGTGAGGTAAACAATTAGGGGGGAAGGTAGCAATGGTGAAAACATTGTTTTCTAGAAAACAATAATAGTGTTGAGGTCTAGGGGTGCTGGGAACCCCCAAATTCAAGGGTAAACAATATGGGTCCTGCCTTGAATGAATTCAACCAAAGCCTTCTTTCAGCCAGAGACAAGGTTTATTAAAACACTGGTTAAGGTGGGTGAAATTTTATGAGCTATTGTGACACTTGTATTGACAAGGGGGCCATTCTTTTAAGGAATCTGAGCATTTTAATGGAGGCAAGATGGGCCTTTAACACAGAAAGACTTTGGGAAGATCTGGATGTGGTCTAGGAGTGGCCAAGTAGTCTAAGGTGACTGGGAGGTAACAGAGAAGGACTGAGAAGGGCCAAGTGCCCCGGGTGAATGCCAGGGACCTGGGCCATGTGGAAGTGTTCTAGAAGGCATCAAGGAGTGGTGGTATAAGGTGGGGCCAGGTGCAGACAATGAGGGCTGGGCCAGGTTAGAGGTAACAGAGAATTGAAGATTGGGTCAGGGTCAACGCCACAATGCAAGGACAGTTGAAATGATTATAGTGAGATGAGCTTCACATGGCAGGCCATGTGGGAGAGTTCAGGGGAAGTTGGGGAGGGGAGGGTTTCCAGGGCCCATACCCCATCAATAGTGTTCACCTTTTTCTGAGTCTCGGGCTTTAGTCAGTGACAGTTCTATTAGGTCTTTATTTAGATATTTATTAGTGCCAAAAATTCAAGGATTTGGGGGTGAAATAGAATAGAGAGTCATCCAGGGATAAAGGACACTGATCCAGGTCTCCTAGACCCTCCTTCCTCCTCTTCTCAATTTGTCAGTGCCTGGCACATAGGAAGCACTATATAAATGTTAGCTATTATTGTCACTGTTGTCATTGTTGTGGTTTCATTCTGTGTATTTGTAACCCCAGCATTCAGAGCAGTATTTGGCACATAGTAGATTTTGACAAATGCTTAGGGTGAATTTCTCCAGCCCGAAAGATGATGGGTGACAAGTGAAAGAGTTTCCTGGAGAAGGACTTTGGGGCTGCTCATGTTCACCTACATGTACCAAGGAGAGAGTCGATGGATAAATGTTCCTAAAACCTTACCAGCTAGTGAGAGGAGAAGGGAAAATGCCTGGGCATTTTGGTCTTGAAGTCTAGCCTTTTAACAGAGAAGGAAGATTTCTTGGTAGCACTGGTCCCGGTTCTTTCCTCCAGGGTGACCCCAAGTTCAAAAGTTCAGCTATCTGACATTCTATACACAAAAGGGGGTTCCTGTGTATCATGTGTGTTGGAGAGAAAGCATTCATCCATGAATCCTCTGCAGGAGATGAAGAAAATGACTAAAACCTGTAAATGATGGAACAGAAAATCTGGGAAAGGAGTCACCCAGAATCATAAGATGTCACCCTCCTGGCAACCTCAGCTTTAGGTCTCTGCTAAGGGGAGTCAAACCAGAATGCCATGCAGTCAGGAAGTTTTGGGACCCTGAGGGAAAAGCAAAAGGAAGGGAAGAAATTCTAGGTCTTCCCAACTTGTGTTATCTTCCCCATAAGAATGGAAACTCCTTGAGGGCATGGACTATTTTTCTTGCTGTGCTATGGATGTCAAATTCTGGAGAGGATAGGATCAAAGCTCACTTATAAAACCCAAGGGCCCTAGGGATAGATTCTAAGGATCTAAGGGAGGGGACTGAGCAAGATGAAGAGGATAAGGATAACTGGGATGCAGGTGGCATGGTTTGGAAATATATGAACATTCTATCTGAAGACTTTATATTGTATGTGGGCACATGTACATGCTATGTTTGGAGATCACCCAGAATAAACTCTAGGTGGGGGCAATAATGAGTCACAGTAGCCACTGTGATTGGACCCAGTTTAGTGTGAGCCCATTGTGAGAGGTTCCTGGGTCACAGGTTCCATAGGCAGAATTCACTCTTGTCCCTATTACCAGTTCATATTCTATTTGAGCTGATGTGTCTCTTTGTGGAGATAATCTCTAGGTGGCAGGAATGCCTGTACACAGAAAGTATTTAGTGAAACTGGTTTTAAGGCTCAATTAATCAACAGCATAATGATAAACATATAGTGAAATAAGTGAGACACTGACATATAACTAGAAGAGAGGTTTAAAATGTAGGATAGAGTTAAGGAGAGGACAGCCTCAAAGCAGAAGGAGGAAGAAGAAGTATTTAACAGAACAGAATTGAGCAGACAAAGAAAAACAAACAATAATATCTACGAATATGAATGAGATGAACTGATCCATGAAATGGAGGAGTGTGGCAAAATGAATTATAAACAAAGCCCAATAATTTTCGTGCTTTCAAGAAATATACTTAAAATGTAAACATGAATAGAATTAAAATATGGAATGGAATTAATTATACATCAGGAAGATCTGAAAAGGTAGGAGGAGCAACCTTGATGTCACCCAAGGTAAAAACAACAACAACAGCTAGCCTTGATATAATTCCTACTATCTGCCAAGCACTTTGTTAGGCACTTTACAAATATTGCCACATTTGAGCCTCATAAAAATCCTGGGAAATAGGCACTATTATTATCTCCATTTTACAGTTGTAGAAACTGAGGCAAATAGAAATTAAGTGAGTTGCCCAAGGTCACATAGCTAGTAAGCATCTAAGAACAAATTTGAACTCAGGTCTTCCTAACTCCAGATCTAGTGCTCTATCCACTAGCTCCTCTAGCCATCTAGCTCCCTGGATGGTACATCAATATGAGAATGCCACATATTTTTATAGCATTTTAAGGCTTTAATAATACTTTGCACATAATATCTTTTTGATCCTCACAATACCCCTAGGAGTTAAATGTTATTATTATTATCTTCATTTTTCAGATGAAAAGCTTCCAACTGAGATAGATTAAATGACCTGTCAAAGGGTCACACAGCTAGTAAGTGTTTTAGGTGGGATTTAAATTCATGTCATTCTGATTCCAGATTCAGTACTTTATCTACTACATAAAGCTATCTCTCAAATGATGAAGAAAGACAAGCAAAGAAACTATATTATTCTTAAAGACATGATAAGTTATAAAAAATATGTGTATGTATTATATACACATACACATACATAAACATATATAGATAAACATATTCACTGAATAATTTAACATCCAAGAACTCAAAAGTTCACGTTCAAATTACAGGCAGTCTAAATAATACATACTTCAGGGACTGTTAGAGATTTCTTGACCCATTTTCCAGACTGAGATGAATCTAACAGAAAGATAAGCAGAAAAGAAATGAAGGATTTGAACAGAACGTTTTTAATGCTAGGTATGACCCTGTTTGCCAGCAACCTAGAGCATTCAGGCAAAGACTGACCATAAGCTAGGATGTAAAGAACACATAAATTAATGCAAAATGGCAGAAATAGCAAACATATCCTTTGAGAACCAAACCCAGGTCTCCTGTGGTCTCATTAAAGTGAGTGTTCCCTTCCATTGATGTGGGTTACAGTCCATCCACCCATGTCTGTTCTACATGACTCTCACTCACATTTTCTCCTAAGTCTTGCCAGACGTGATTCTTGACATCACAAGGACACCCGTAGAATGCACAGGGTGTCCATTTCTCGTTCTCTTCATGTGACCAGCCCATTTAATTTTTCTGCCAAACATCTATTAGGTGATATCCTTTATTCCAATTCTTCGTACTACCTTGTTTGTTATTTTGATATCTGTTTTCATTCAGTCTGTATCTCTCCATTACCCTCCAAATGATACATTCTTTTTTAATTCTTCAAAGACCACGGCATTCCATGGTTCACAGAATTTCAAAAACAGGAGTAGATTGTTATGATTAAAAGATGATTCTTTGTTTCAGGGAAATGTTTAGGACCACTAAGATATTAATCTCTTCATTCTTTTTAAAGCAAGATCTAACTTTTTTTTCTATATGAAATGTCTATCCAAGATCCATATACGCTAGTGGACAAGCTCGATAGGTTGACTACCTAACTTCCTGCTATTATCTGGAGAAAAGGTAGCATTCATCCACTTCTTTGTTTCCTATGTGGTGGTTAAACCAAACTTTAGATTTCAATATTTCTAATGATTTCTAATTAAAATTTATGCAATATGCCCCCAAAACATTTCTTCAAGAACTCTCAATGTGGTTTCTTCACTACCACATCCCTCCCTGAAAAACGCAAGGTTTCCTAAAGTTCAGACTCTGCCACTTAGACTTTCCCAGGGACTTTGAGATGGTCTTTGAGCTTCCCCAGTACCCCCAGAGAGGCATGCCTCAGCTTGCTGTGACCCAGGATCAGAATGATAGAGTGGGTCATGGGATAGACACTCATGACGGTTAGTGAAAACATTGCCACAAGTTTACTGCGAAATACAGACATATTTAAGTTTCCCATAATGAGGCCTGAATGGTATAGCACAAAGAGGAAGAGGAAGGAGATTATGGTCTTCATAGCTCTTACATGGGCCTTCGTACCGGGATCCCTGTAGCCTGTGACCTTGAGATGCATCTGCTGGGTGTGCTTCCACAAGGATAATACTAAGAGGAAACAGGAGATGACGGAGAGAGCACAGGGGACCAAACCTCCAGTACTGAAGAGAATCGGGATGGAACACTTCAGGATTTCCGATCCTTGATTAATATGAGTAATAGTTGTTTTATTTTCTTGATCAATGGGAACTACCTGAATCTTAGTAATTCTCTCTGTCGTCGGAAGAATAATGAACGAGGATGTGAGCCAGCATCCCAGCAGCATCCTGAGGACCACCTTGTTAACTCTCCATTTCAGCCAGAGGAAAGCAGGATGGGAGAAGGTGGCGATCTTCAGAAAATAGAAGATACTGAGGCAACTTCCAAACCAGGCACCTGAATGGTTGCTGAAGTTCCAGATGATTCCTGAAGTCTTCCAATTACTAATGACATTTGTTTTAAAATAGAAAAAATCAAAAAAGTTCATTAATATTAGTGCCAACAATATACCAATCCTGGAGATGGCCAAGCCAGTAAGGATGAAATCAATTGAGGTCATTCTTCTGGTCTTCACACACTCAATACAGTTTACTAGTCCAATGAAGCCATTAACACAAAACCCTACTAAGCACTCTCCAGATGTCACAGCCACACAGATGTTCTCCAATACACTTGGCATGTTTGTGAAAAGAAACTCCCTGATATCTTTAATACTTTTTTTTCTGGTGAATGGATTTCCAGCCAAGGTGAGCAAAAAGATATTTCTATCTCTTAAAATAACAGTTGTTCTCTTCTTTCTCTTTCTTGTGATCTCTCTCTGTGCTTAGAAAACACTCCGCCCTGCTATGGGATGAGGCTATAGTTGCATTCACAGCATTCTGATAGTTAAGGTTAATTGTTAGCTCAGACCTTGAATGGTAGTTTCAGCGTTTCTGGATGGTAATTATCCATGTGTGCTCCTGCCTGAGTGGCTGAGCTGCTGTTTTCAAAGATGTAAATGAAGGACAGATTATATGTCCTTGCTTTGCACTTTTAACTTAACCTAGTTTGTCCGCATAAGAGAAACAAACAATAGCATACATCATAGAGAAAGTAGAAAAATAAAGGTGTGGAGTATTATCAACTTTCTGACAATCATCTTTCCTAAAAAGCAGTGAGGTCTAGTGGAAAGAAGACTGAACCCTTGGGTCTGAATCCAACTCTGACATGCTCTAACTTCATGAACATGGGCAAATCAATCAAGTTCTTTAAACCTCAGTTTCCTCAATTGTAAAATAAGGTAAATAATTCCTATAGGATGCCAAACAACCTGGGAAAACACTATTTTAAAATGCAAGTAATAGTCAATAGAGCTAAGATAAAGACATCATAACACAGCTCTGAGAAAGGTTTAAGCATTCCACGGGCTGCCTTAGCTGACAAAGATGGGACACTGCTATATCGCCTTTTGTCATCATACTAACTTGATGGTTTACATAAAAACATTGGCTGCTTTTTATGGAAGAGTCAAAGATTCTACCCAAAAGCTACCAGCTACTTTTAAATTTCTTAAGGAAGGTTTATTCATGTGTATGGAACTGATTACCTGGGTACCATATTTCAAAATATTATTAAACAATACTCCCCAGATCTGTTAGAAACAGAGGAAAAGAATGCAAATGGGGGGGGGGGGGAAATCCCCTGATCTTCTCCTGAAACACCAAATGGAAAATATCCAGAAATTGTGTAGCCAAAATCTAGAGCTTCCAGGAAAAAGATAAAATACTGACTGCAAACAACCAGAAAGAGTTCAAGCACCAAGGAAACACTCAGGATCTTATTATGTTGCAGCTACTGTAAAAGAGAGGAAATGGTGGCCTGTGATGTTACAAAAAGCAAAAGACAAAGGCGTATAAAGAAAAAAATAATTTATCCTGGAAGACTAAGTATAACCATGCAGAGGAAAAACATCTGTAAAAGAATAGCATTTCTGAAGTAAAAGACAGAAGAGAAAAGGTTTTTTTCTGAAAAGGAAACATGTGAGTTCAGAGGAACCAAGTCACATTTGAGGAATTAGAAAGGACTAAATGGTGATGACTTTCTTACATCCTAAAAAGGGGAAAAAAGACAAATGTCCTTTTAGAAATACACTGTTTTCAAGGATGACAGATTACAAGAACAAATACAGAAGGTGGAAGCATTTTTCTTTTGTTTTGGTGGTTTCAAAGAGGAAGGAAAGGGAAAGGAAATACAGAAGGAAAGAAATGAGAAAGGAGAGGAAGAAACTTATTTTTTCAGAATTAGGACTACGATACAAAAAGCATACAAAAAATGGAGGAAGAGGTTGAAGGGGGTTGTCTCATGAACTTCACTGAAAAGAGGGTTACACACAGAATTTGATACAGAAATACATTAAAATCAAGATGGAACTAGATGGAGATGGAGAGGGAAGTAATGTGTTTAGGGAGGGAATAGATCCAAGCAAAACAAATTTCAGCTTCTTAGAGCAGAGAGTAAAATAGGCATTAAAAGAAAAGAAAGACAAATTGTAATAGCCTGTTATGGTAGTCTGGGGTAGTTGAAAAGAAGATCAAGGGAATGAGAGCAAAAGTCTTTGATTAAAGATAATTATTGTTGATTGTATTTCTTTTCTTTCTCTACTTTCTGCTTTATGAAGGGGAAGGGTGAGGAAAGAGAAGAAAAGTATAAAAAGATATTACGGAGGTAAATTTACAATTAGCAATCATAACCATGAATGTGGACAGGATAGACTCAACATAGAATGGAAGACAGGAGCAGAATAAATCGTAAAGCAGAATCCATGAATACATTGCTTACCAGAAACGAGTTTGATATACAAATATTCACACAGGGTTAAGATAAGGAACTGAAACAGAATATATTATGTTTCATGTGAACTCAAAAAAGCAGCAACAGCAATCATGATCTTACCCAACAAAACACTTCGAAAAGACTTGGTTTAAAAAAAAAAGAAAGAAAGAAAAGAAATAACAGAGGAACAGAGAAACTACATCGTGTTTAAAAATAAAATAGATAGGGGCAGCTAGGTGGCACAGTGGACAGAGCGCCAGCCCTGAAGTCAGGAGGACCTGAGTTCAAATCTGCCCCCAGACCAAACACTTGACACTTACTAGCTGTGTGACCCTGAGCAAGTCACTCAACCCCAACTGCCTTAAAAAAAGTAAAATAGATAAAGAAATAACATCAATATTTAATGAGCAATTATTAACATAAATGTACTTAAATGGCATCACATCTAATTATTTTTTATTTTAAAAGATTTTATATTTGCTAGATGTAAATATAGCTACACTAAATAAAGACATAGGTTAATCTTCATAGCTAAACTGCACAAAATACAAATACCATTGATGATGTTAGCCATCTCCACAGCAAACTAAAATAATAAAAACATATAATGAGGAAAAAATGGAATGGAAAGTATCCAAAAGACAAATAGCTATCAGGTCAATTTTTTTTTAAGTCTTCCAGATGAGCAATCATGCTTACCTATTAAAAGAGTAAATTGACTATGGCAGTTATTGTCTACAGTCACCTTTTTTTTTCCTATGTACAACTTTTCCACCTAATGTCATTAATTAACATAGAAGAAATTCACCACCATCAATACTCTGGTGTTTGACAATAAAATAAAGACATCTTTTTTTTTTTTGTCCTGGGAAGTAACATTCTATGAAACACAAATGATAGCTGGATATATGTTCTGTAATATGAAGAGCAAATGCTAATGTCCACTAAAGGTCTTTTGAAACACAGACTCCTTGAGGGAAAATATAATGGCCTTTAAATAATTGCTCCACATTCATATTTTAAGACACTTTCATCTTAATCACTGTCTCCCTCAGACAACATTTCAAAAAGGTATAACAATTCAAAGAAAGTCAGAAATGGACATCTTTAGACACAATGAAAGAAGCTATTTGATATTGGGAGGATGTTCTTCATTTTGGATACCTTAATATTTAGCCTTGGGAAAACTTTAGAAAAATCAACATTTTTGTTGCAAATTTCTTCAAAGAGTTATTTTTTATTTAACTTGTCATTTTTACCTAGAGCCGTCTCTAAGCCCTCTTTCGTGTACAATTGAGGATTACGACCTTGATCTATATATTCAAAAAACTTCTATAGTCTGCTAATTAGTATCATGAAGACACTGTTAACACTCATCAATATTCTCAAAGCTGGTCACAATAAAATTCAATGCCAGTTGAGCTTCACCTGGCTGCTGGGCTGGAAGTTGCTGTCAATAACTCTGAACCAATGGAAATCATCCATAAACTTCTCCAGATATACCTCCAGGTGTTCACACTTCTCCATCATTTCCTAGGCCTAGGCCCATGGAACCATCACCTCTACCTCTTCAAACCACACTAGGTACCTCATTGCTTCTATTTCTCTTAATATTTAAGTATTTACAGGAAAAGCTATTCAAACTACAAGGGTAAAAAAAGCAAAACTAAACCATTTGGGAACATTAATAAGCTCCCTTTCACACCTGAATAAACGTAACAAAAAGATAAACAGGAAATAAATTAAGGACTTCAAGAGAATTTTGGAAAGCTTAGATGTTATAGAAGTTGGGTGATAACTGAATGTAAATTAAAAGGATTACACATATTACTTAGGTATAAGTGGCACCTTTAAAAACCTGACCATGTTGTAGAGCACGAAAACCTATTGAATAAGTGCAGAAAAGTAGAAATACTAAACACATCAACACAATTAAAAATTATAATCAATAAAATGCATTTTTTTAAAAAATCAAACTTAAAAGTAGACTAAATTGTTTAATCTCAAAGAATTTGTCTGTCAAAATACGTCATAGAAACAGATAATTTCATTAAATAAAATCACCACTATGATAGCCATATTAAAACTTTTGAAATGTAGTCAAAGTCCTTATGTGCTTTCTATCTTTAGCTTCTAGTCTTTTCTCATTGTATGACCTGACTTACTTTTTTTTTGCTTTTTGATTTTTTTAAATAACTAATTTATGTATTTTTAGTTTTCAACGTTCACTTCCATAAGATTTTGAGTTTTAAATTTTCTCTCCCTCCTTCTCCCCCCACCAAGATGTTGTGCAACCTGATATAGGCTCTACTTATACATTCATATTAAGCATATTTTCCTGTTAGTCATGATGTAAAGAACAATGAGAACTAATGGGAAGAACCATGAGAATGAAACAATAAAACAAAACAACAAAGGAACAGGAATGCAAATAGTGTGCTTGCATCTGCATTCAGACTCCATAGTTCTTTCTCTGGATGTGGATAGCAATTTCCATCATGAGTCTTTTGGAGCTGTCTTAGATCCTTGCTTTGTTGAGAAGACCCAAGTCTATCAAAGTCAGTCATCGCACAGTGTGGCTATTACTGTGTACAATGTTCTCCTGGTTTTGCTCATTTCACTCAGCATCAGTTCATTTAAGTCTTTCCAGGTTTTTCTGAAGTCCACCTGCTCATCATTTCTTATGGCACAATAGTATTCCATTACATTCATATAGCACAACTTGCTCAGCCATTTCCCAATTGATGGGCATTCCCTCAGTTTCCAATTCTTTGCCACCATGAAAAGAGCTGCTATAAATATTTTTGTACATGTGGGTCCTTTTCTTGTTTTTATGATCTCCTTGGGATACAGACCTGGAAGTGGTAT